TGGTATAATTAATTTCAGGGTCAGCAGTGCATCTAAAATCGATGACTTAATGACTTATACCTAATTATCTTTTTCACCTATCAACGAACACGCTTTGTTGGAGTTGGAGAGAGAACTTATAGCTTTCACAATAAATATTTTACGATAATTCGAAAAAAGACAAATTGTCTTCAAAAAGAAGAAATCGATTCAAATAATGAAATTATATTTTTTCATATCTTAACAAGACACATATTATTTGAAATAAGGTACCTAGATAACTGAACAAATGCAAAACAGATTGAAACAGCTGACAAAAAATGTATCAAATCGCTTCTCTAACAAAACCTCGGTGTGAGGTCTGGGAAATGAGGAGGCCGTTTTCTACCATATTTTCTACTCACTAATTGAGAAACAGACAGGCCATCCATCAGGTTGGAACCATAAATATGTCGTTCGTTAATTGTATCGACATTTTTTTGTGGAGGACTCAGTATTTTTTACTGTTTTTTTGGGTTTATAACCGTTCACAATCTGAAAAATAAGCAAAGCTAAATCAAAGGAGAATCAGTCTGCCACTTTAACAGATTCTCCATTGATTCAGCATTGTTCATTTTTCGGAAATTGGGAAGTTATATACAAAAAAAACAGTGAGAAATAATAAAAGTGAGTTCCTTCATTTTATTTTAAACTCAAAAACTATATTCAGAAATTTATTTACAGTTGTTATACTCGTGTAGAAACAAACAGTCCTTAATGATACAATTATTATTGCATAGGCAGATACAATTTGTGAACTGTAACCACAAAATTATTCATATGAAACTTAAATCGACTTTCACTGCCGCCTATCGAATGCAGTCGTTCCGATGTTTTTCATTCATAAAGTAATAATTTCTTCGTTAAATCTATGCTAATGTGTTATGTAATAGCGTGGGATTGGAAATACCACATTTGATTAATTCTGTATTTGTGAATCAACTTCGACCAACAACATTTTTTATAGATTTTGTCACCACGTAAATTCATGGAAAAACACTCAGTAGACAAAGTGATTTCTCATGATTTTTGACAAAGGAAAGTTCCCATAAACATATATTAAAAATCCTCAGTTTCAGAAATACGAGGTGTTGAAAATCGAAGTTGAAATTTACATTGTAACTTGATAACTTCATATCTTGGTCAAAGTTTTTTCCATTTTCATGGGAGAAAATGGTAATATTACGGCTCATAGGAAACATAAAACTTGAAATATATGCTTCATGAAAGAGTGTAAAGATCACAGCCGGAGATAATCACGGACTGGGTGTTTTTGTTCTCCTCAAAGCAGATATCTCTATTAAAATCCAAATCTATTTTAGAACCCAAACAAAGATAGATGCGTGATCAAAGCATGATCACCACGCACATTTGTATCTATTGGGTAAAATGAACAAGCATCCTCACGCTGGCTAATCAGATTTAACTGCAATCGGCTGGCGGAATTCATTGTTACAGTGTCTGAGTAGTCAGTTACGTTGTAACGCCTGTTTTAACGCATCTGGGGAAAAAAATGAAATGAAAAGGAGGGTCTTGTGACACATATTTTTGAAGATCCTGACGAATGCTTCACAACTCTAGAATATAATGTCAATATCTTCAATTACTACAAAATGGCGGAACATTATACCGACTAAATCGAAACTCAACAGTTTTTCTTGATTGTTTCACTCGATATTTCATTCGAAGATGTGATTTTCTCTTGAAAAGCTTGTTTCAAAAATATGGGGTTGTATAGGGTTCCGAAACAAATAGTTTCATGAGAAACAGTACGGACGTGAATAGTTTATCCCTCTTCCTAACTTTTGTAAAAAGGAATAATTTTCAGTAGTTTTTTATTTTGAAAAGCCAATAATATGACATCACTTGCCGCCGAAACGACGCTATGATTGTTTCTCAAATGAAAAGGAGTTTGAGAGTGACCTTCTCGAAATACATATATGTACATTTTGGCGGTTTGTGCACTAAAACACAAACTTCTTATGCCGTTTTGATTTGCAATCAAACTCACAAATCTGCATTCCCCTGTCAGGGTCATCTTTATTCAATTCATGTAATATATTCAGTTTATAGTTTATGTCTTCTGAGTGAAATCTCAACAATCACCGACAATCACGGATTATTGAAATTTCAGAAAGTGGGCAATTTTCTTTGGCGGAATGGTCATCAAACTGTAAAGACCTTTAAAAGAATGAAGTAAGCATTTTGTCTAATTACGACTGAGACTGATTTGGAATCCGAACATGATACATTATCTTTTAGTTTCAATGGCTCAGTCACGGAACATTCTATCCTTTCTACTATCTCGAAAAATTTTGATTCTCTGGAATCGGGTTGGACCACTGTTTCATCAAAAATAGTTTACAAAAATTGTGGATTTTCCATACACATTTCCTTTTTCTTTCATTTACATACAGAATGGTCGCAACTCTATTAACATCTCCCAAAAGTTAATGAATTGAATATTCCCAGAGAAGTGACTGTTTCGATAGTTTTTGAAATTTAAATGCATCTTTCATGCGATTAGTCGAGGTCAGCATATGGAGTCTCAGAAATTCCCATAAAATTAATTCAAACCTATACTAACTTCAAGCCTTGATTTAGTTTGAATATTATATACCAATTAGTGAATAATATTAAAACTTTTTCATGATATTCTTTCAGGATATTCCTAATTGTGTATATCAAAATTAAGGCCAATTCAATTACAGGTTTAATTAATGGGTAATCTAGAACATAAAATCCATAATATGAATAGTTAATGAACAAATAAACAATATTTTATAGTGGTACAGGCAGGGCCGAAGCAGGAGGGGCAGGCGCCCCGGGTACCAGATTTTCGGGGGCGCCAAAAACATCATCAAAATTAGTAACGGCTTCACAACAAAAACATAAATTTCAATGTAGAATTCAACTACCCAATAAACAGAAGTTTTTTTGAGAAACAATGAAGCTGTAAAGTTTTAGTTCAGTTGCTGTTGACAGTGTTATTAAAATTAACCCAGAGCTGTTCCAAAATAGAGTCATTTGTTGGTATTACATCCATTTTGATATAATCTCTATAATAAATAGCGACACCTCCTCCTCTTCCCTGCCTATCCTTCCTTACTACGCTGTAACCCTGCACACTAATCATATTGTTTGAAGTGATTGGGGACAACCATGTTTCCGTGACAACCATTATGTCCACTTTGTGTTTTTTCAGCAGTGATTTGAATGAATGGAATCCGGTAAACAATGATCTGACGTTCAGTGTTGCAATTTTGAAATACACGATAGAACAGTTGGAAAGAGCTCATGTCCCCCAAAAAAACTTCACTAAGTAAGTCTTGTATAAAAAAGACCATTTAATAGAAGATAATATATGAAAGAACATAAAAACAATTGTAAAGAGAATATGTGATCAAAAATTGTTCTACTGGTGTATCTACATACTTTAGATGAAATCAAGAGTTCAGAAAAAGAAAAGAAAACTATTTATATATCCACCTAAAACACCTGAATGGAAACAAAGGTTTTAAACGAAGTGACAATAATTCGAAAAACTTCGAAATTTTAATCAATCAAGAACTAATTATGATTGATGTCCTTCTGCTATATCTTCTAGGTTTACAATACTGGGCTTCAAAACTTCATTGTTGATTAAAATGCGAATTTTACCATCTATTGTCCAGACATCATTGTTACCATATTTGTTCCTTGCCTGATGCCTGATGTCTGAATACAGTTAAATCCTCTTTTATTGTGATTTTACTATTTTTCAGAAGTTTTCAAGCCTTGATGATATCATTTTCTATATGATGATTAGGATTCAATAATAACGACATTATTAAGTATTGTGTAGGCGTTTTCCATTTGTGTGATTTCAAAAGTTTTTCACTCTCTCCATGACGCTCTGCTGATCATCTGGTTGTACTTGCATTCCATAAATTCGAAGATTATTTCCGTTCGAATATTGTTCTAGGGAGTCTAATCTACGATCGTGATTTGTAATTTTCTCCGCATGAATTTTGATTTTATCTTCGATACCAAATAGGTTCTCTCGCAGTTCATTAAATTTAGCTTATATGCTTGCATTAAGGTTGGCTGACACTTGTTGAATAATATGGTTGACCGCGGCATCATTCATGGTTCCCAAATTAGTTGTTTTCTTTGATACGAGTTCTCTTAGGCCTAGCCATGTGTTCCGCTTCGATATGAGATAGGCACTCAACATATCTAGTTCCCAGCGAACGAAGTACTGATAGTATTGAAGTGAACAAATCGTACAGAAAAAAGTTGTAGAAATGTTTGTGAGTGTGACTGTTTGTATCGTATTGCCATAAATTTGAAATAAATAACGAATACGTCCCCCTGTCGCGCACGTCGTTCTCGTGGTACTGATATGCACTATAGTTACTACACTTATATGCACTTTGTAATGTATTTCAAACTGTTTTTGGTTTTGGTATGCCTTTACTACAACAAACTACTACTTAGGACACTTTCTACGTAGCTTTCACAAAAAAAACATGTATTCAAATTAGGTATTTACGAAGTAATTTTGGGAGAGCTGACTAATACGTCTATTCACTGTACGCCATGTTGCAACTGGGTATATTTCATCAGGTACTCATCGAAAATTCAACTTTTCCGCTTGAAAATATAATATTATTAAAAACAACGTTTCTACAACATGCCACTACCTTAAATTGAAAAGGAAATATTTTTCAGGTGAGATAAGTTTTTGGGAAGAAGCTACTTCATTTATATACGAAATTTTGGGAAACTTCTAAAGAAAGAACGTAATTACCTTCAAAATTAACTCTTTACAAGGAAGATGAAAAGTTGTTATTGAAGTATTTTTTTTCTTCCTTTCTTCAAAGTTTTCCACACTTTCTATATGTTTTAACAAAAAATTATCTTTCCTGAAAAAAGTGAATGTAAAATGATTTTTATTTGAATTTCAATATTGACTGGTAATTTCTTTCGTATACTTTCAGATGATGAAAATGAAGAGTTCACCTTTCACATAGCGCGATACAGACCAGAGGAATTACAGAAATTGGCATCAAAAACCAAGTTCACCAGAAAAGAAATCCAGCTAATATACCGAGGATTCAAACAGGTTAGGTTGGTTATATACTAGTAACAGTTTTAATTACGTAAGGCGCATTCTGGTTCTCAGTTCGAACGATTCTAGGACATTTCAAAATAGTTACCCAGCTGATTATGAAAAGTAGACTCACCCAACACTGTTCAAGTCAACTGTACGACTAAATTTGACAGTTCGAAAATTGTTCAAATAGCGAATCAACGTGAAAAATAGAAAAACAACTGATAAAAATATGAGCAAGGTCTCATTCGATTCGAAATGGGCCCTAGAAGAATGAATTCGAAGGATTTTACAGTGGGTAAAAAATTACGATTGTTATAAAGAAAATAATCGAGGAGAAATGAGGTATTCCGGTTTTTTGTTAATAACATCAGAACTATAAATATTTAAGAAATGGAACAAAGATATTCTCAAAGTGGAGAAAACTCCTCATAAAAAAGTTACGACTCCTGGAGATGTACCTCCATTATTTATAATTTTAATTCAACGTTGAAATTAGATCGTCGCGCGCCTGTTTTACCACAGACGCAGGGCTGCTGAAAATTACGTTTCAGTGAAAATAATTTTTCACAACATTAAATGTTCATTTGAGAATTTGAAAAAACTATGGCTTACTCACAACATTTCAAAGAATAAACTCTCATTGTGAAAATGAAATTATCCTCATTTTCCACGACGTGGATTTGTCAATTGATAAATCATTATCGGATCTCTGCCCTGATTGTGGATCCGTTCTCGTAGAAAGGCTCGTTCATTTTTTAAATAGATCCAATTCGCCCGAGCTGAAGCGAACTATCAGATCAGCTTAAAATTAACCCAGAGCTGTTCCAAAATAGAGTCATTTGTTGNACGAATCCAAAATACACGAAGTCAACTGGCAGAGGTAGACATTGCCTTGCTGAAACTACACCTAGAAATCAGCAATGGAATGAAAGCTAAATACTGGAACAAATTGAATGATATTTCCTACTCGAACATGAGGAGTGAACGAGACAGATTGTAACGTTACCTTCCTCTCTTCTGAACTCAGAGCAAGATAACGATGCAAGTGCCACGACTAGCAGTGGGTGTTACGGAGGCAAGAGCGTGGTTTGTTTCTTCTATTCTATATAGAAGCTCAATACTGGGTGCTGAAAAGGGTTACCAAAACCAATAATTAACTTTATATTTGAAATCCGGTTATATGGATGACTATTAAAATTTCATAATTATTTTGTCACCACTAGACGTTCTCACTTAGAAAGCCAAGCACAGAAAGACCGTTTCACAATTTCATTCTATCTACATCAAATCGGTACCAGTTCAAACTCTTCACTCACCTAATAAAATAGACATATGAACAAAGTCCACCGATTCTAAGAATGACATAAAAATATACATCTCTCTCTCTCTCTCTCTCTCTCTGTGTCTAACTTCTAACTTGACCTTACACGGTAAAAATGAATTCCCTGACTTAATAACATTAGGTACTCTTTGAAAATGGATTTTGTAACTGAACAAAAGAAGAAGACGATTTATCTGACGTCTATTTGCATACCTAACCGTGATACGGAATAAAATAAGCAAAACAAATAATATCAATTTTCCGATTCATTTTGTTTGGTAGCGCTACCGAAGACTGCTCAGAAGAATCCCAGATCTGTGAAAATAAAAATGAGAATTTAGATAGTGGGTATGTTATAGTTCACAATTTGAGATTGAAAAGAAAAAGGTTTATTTTGTGTTCAGATTGTGTCACAAACAATATATAATTACTAATGGAAAAACGGAACGTAACAAGATTAAGAGAAAACCACAAAAAGAAGTATGATAAATTTCACAGTGCCCAAAGCCCAAAACTCCCATGCTTGGACAGGTCCGCAGAGTAGTCGTGAACCTAACAGAAACGGTTCTCACGGAAGATGAAATGGCAATGCTAGCAAGAGGTGGTAATTTGGAACCTGCCGCGGAATGACCGAGGCGGGTCCCGAAAATAAAGAAATTATAGCTAATACGGGAGCTGCAATCAGAACTCTACCGGATGATGAAGCGGAGGAAATTCGGATTGAGACAGCGAATATTTTACGCAAGGCTTGAACACCAAAATGTAATATACCAAAAAGAGGAATTGTGGCTTAGAAAAACCTGAACTCAGATGACAAGGAAAACGCCACGGTGCTTTTGAAACCAGAAGAATACATCGGAAAAATTGAAGAACTTCTCGACACGTCCAGTTACCGCAAGCTAAATGGAGACCCACAAAGTTGCGGAATGAAAACCTTTTCATAAAATCATCATCATTATCGGAAACCCCTCAGGAGACCGTCCTGCCAAGGCTCTACGGTCTTCCGAAAATACACAAAAAAGAAGTTACGTTGATTCCAATAGTGAGTACACCGGGTTTGCCTACGTATTACTTGTCAAAACACCTAGCATCACTCTTCCAGCCTCATGTTGGAAAAACAACCTCGTACGTCAAAGATTCGACAGACTTTGTGGAAAAAATTAAGATTATAATCTTAGAGCCAAGTGATATTCTGGTCAGTTTCGACGTTGTGTCCTTATTCACCAAAGTCTCGCTGGAAGATTCTCTGAGGGAGATAGCCAACCTGTTTCCTAGTGATATTGTCGGACTCTTCAAGGCCTGGGGTAAGTTACTCCAAATGGAAAGGAGTTTTCTATAAGCAATTAGACGGCGTAGCGATGGGAAGTCCATTCAGCTCAGTGATAGCCAATTTCTTCATGGAGCAATTTGAGAAGAAAGCAATCGACGCTTTCGATTTCAAACCAACCATTTGGCTACGACACGTGGATGACACCTTCGTCAGCTGGAGACATGGGAGGGACGGACTGATCTTATTCCTAGACCACATAAATGCTCAACACCCTAGCATCAAGTTCACCATGGAGACTGAACAGAAACAACGGATAGCTTTTCTAGATGTACTCGTCGAAAGGCGTAGCACACGACTGACACTGAGTTAAAGACACAAGGAGGAAACTCAAACGGTTGCACGTCTATTTCTATCGTACATCCTTAGGGTTACAGACAGAGTCGGAAAAATCTTAGGGAAGCATATAATAAAAACAGAGTTCAAGCCCACCAGGAAATACAACAAAGCCTGAGATCTGGAAAAGACAAAAGAGATCCACTATCAGCTGCGGGGGTGTATCGTATACCATGCACCTGCGGAAAAGTTTATATCGATACCACCAAAAGATCCATGGGTACAAGGCTGAATGAACATCGGAGAAACTGTAGATTAGGTCGTATAGACATATCGGCAGTAGCGGAACACGCGCTTAGTGAAGGAGATCACACGATACTGTTTGAAAATGGGAAACTACATGCCTCCGATCAAAGAAATCATAGATCATAGTAATCCATAAGCATACGGAAAACTAAAACAGAAAAGAGGAGGCGGGAACGCTTAACCGCATTTGGAATCCCATACTAAAAGATGCTAAAATGGTATCCGCGCAATGCAATGTTACGTCATTAACAGGTAATAATACTTCAACCAATAGCAACGCATCAACAAGAGAGGCGGACTACGTAAATCAACATAAACACAACCTATGAACTAGAAATCACCAGTCATTGGTGAATCATCAAGATGAATAAACCTCTGAAGAGGCCAGCCATTCGTGCTGGCGAAACGTAAGGATGCAGTTCCAAACTGTGACGGCCTACAAACTCGAATGAATATAGTATTTGAAAATCTCGGCCGCGAAAGCTTTAACCAATTCATATGATCGATAAGTTATAATAAGCTTTTGTTGGTGAAAATTCAAGATTTTTTTGACATATTCTTGTCTTTTATGACGTATAACTTGTTTATAAATGAAAATACGGCGACGTCGACGACTGTAGGTAAAACTGAATCGAGATGATGACTATAAGATTTTTAGTATGGGTAAACGGGTCAACTGATAATATTCCATTGTTCCCAAAATTGCATTTTTCTGTAACTTACCTAGTTTTGTCTGTGGATTGATTTCAAGATATCTATCAGTTATGGATCGAACAATAAAGTATACAGTACTAATCATTATTACAAAAAGATATGCAAGTATATATACAAGGTGAGTCAGTAAAAACGAGATAAGACATCTTTCTTATGAATGGTATTCAGAGAAAAAAAATTGTTCGGACTCGTCGATTTTCATTTCAAAGAGGAGATACTTTGCACCTATTTTCAACTTTGTCACTTTCACCATCTCGGCGGCGTAAAAGCCATTCCTCAAATTGAATATCTCATTTGAAAGTTCATCGATTTATCTTTTCAACATATGCCAATTTTTTGAAATAATTATAATAAATCGTCTTTAATTCCTTTCTGGGTTCAGGTCCCAAACAAATACATTGGATCCATGTGATGATTGTCAGATCAATGATTACTCATGGTGCAATTGCCTGTTGGCCCAGGCGAAACTCTCTGGCTTACAGAGACAGGCTTGTCTGGCCATCAGTGGTGCCATCAGTACCACACCGTCAGCGGCCATGAAAACCCTTCTAGATCTACCTGTTCTCCATATGTTTCTGTAGAGAGAGGCTAGATGGACTGCATATAGACTTGTGCACATTGCCAATTGCACAAATCAATTTAATGCAGAGTGCAACAGACTATTCGTTGACACTGGAAGTCACAGCATTCTGGAAATGACTTCTGACTTCATGCCTCTAACTGTCAACTACGAACTGCCTCATAAAGTACTGTTCCCGAGTAGAGAGGACTGGATCCTCCGGGAGAAGGAAATATTAGTTGTTGGTTCACAGATGGATCGAAAACACCTTCCGATTCAGTGCAGGTGTTTTCAGTCGCTCAGGACAGAGATATCAATATGCCTAGGAACCTATGCGACTGTATTTCAAGCGGAAATTCACGCTATTGAATTGTGTGTGGAGTGATTGGAAGAATCCAACCTCATACACAAGTCAATTGAAATATTCTCGTGCAGTCAAGCGGCGTTGGAAGCTCTTGGCTACTATCAAGCAACGTCTAAATTGGTAGCAAATTGCCAAAAACGACTCTCCTCAATAGGAAGACTTAACAGAATGTCTCTGGTCTGGATTCCTGTCCATACTGGCCTGTAAGGCAATAAGTCTGCTGACTTGCAAAGGAGGCTGCTGCAAGCAGCTTCATCGGACCACAACCTGTCATTGACATCTCTTTAGGCTTCGCCAAACAAACATTGAACAGCTGGATGACAAGAAGATTTATGGACTTCTGGCAGAATATTCCAGGATTGGCTCACTCCAAGGCATTCATTCCTCCTTCGAAGCTTGAAACCAAACATTTGTTGGACTACAGTTGGGATGAACTACGATGTCCAACAGGTCTTCTCACAGGTCACTGTCATTTGAATCATCATATGCAGAGACTCGGACTGTCGAAAGACAGTGTCTGTTTGGAAAATGATGGAACAGCAGAGCACATACTTTGTGCATGTCCTGCTGGGGACCGAATCAGGTTTTTTTTAATATGTTTTATTCATTTATTTATATTTCGACAGAGCCGTACTCTTACCATCTGACCTGAAAGACCACTCACCATACAAACTAATTGGCTTCGTTAAGAAGCTGGGCTCATTTGGTCGAGTGTGAATAGGTGTAAGCCACAATAAATTCTCACTGGTTGCGGTGGAGGGTCGAATAGACCCACTCACTTTGGACCTAAGCTAACCTAACCTAACCTTTCTGTACTTAAAATAGGTGCAGTTCAGCCTAATGTTATTGTTACACTTAACCTAAGTTGTACAATTGAATAGTAATATATTACAAAAGCATTCTCATTAAAATACAAAATATGTGCATGGAGTTGTGATCTATAATACAGCAATTATCAAAACATATAAAATAAATAAATAATTTATTTTCCTGATTGATTCAGCCGTTACTTGATGAAGATCCATAGTTTTTTCAAAAACTACACCTCATGATTTGATCTCCACAAACTTTATTTGAAAAATATATCACAACATGTTTCGCTAGAACAGTACTTTATCAAGTGATAAAGCTACCAAACTATTGGAAGATTTCTGATAGAAGCGAGACTAAAGTTACGTAACTCCTTGTACCAAGACCAATCAGCAGGTGATTTTATTTTTTTATACTTGACTTGTGCAGATTCTTTTTCGTTCATCATAATTTCAATAGTAAAGTTCAGACAAGGAACATGTTTTTTAATCATACGAGCTACTTTCACAGGGGCATATTCGTTATTGTATAATGACAAAATTAGGGAGGAGAGATGATTGACTTTTCCATCAATATCCTGTAAACTAAAAATATCATGGAAAGGTGTCCGAATCAAATCAGCCTGGAAGAGATCATTATTGAATTTTTTCAAATCTCGGTAGAAGTGTATTTCAGATTTTCTTCCATTCAATTGGTAGTTCAATAATCCAAGCAATGATCAAATATAGCACTTGCATTTATGGTACCACTACTGTTAACATATTTTAAATCACCAATAAAAATTGGGTCCAGCAATGTCTTCGAATCTTTGAAGATTCCAGTAGGCCCATTTATCAATTGTGTGAAACCATAAACGCCTAAAGAATAGGTTAATGTATTGTTGATTTGGTCAACAGTGGGGACAACTCTGGATAAAGAATCGCCCAGGTTTTCAATGAAACTTATTAAGTTAACTTTGGGGCTGGTAAATATTACCGATTCCAAAAGAAGTGTTTTTTTATTTTTATTTCAATCTGCAACTGTTCACAATGTTTAATACTACAACAATTCAGTAAACTAGATTTTATATTGTTTGATACATAAACACCAACTCCTCCACCTCTTGTTTGGCGGTCCAGTCTGTAAAATTTGTATCCGGAAATGAAAATTTTGTTATTATCGATTGTATTTTTCAGCCATGTTTCAGAAATACGCTATATCGTAATACCCTTACAAATGTTGTGAAATCATCAAAATGACTTGAAAGGGAGCAGATGCAGTAGTTCTCTAGTAAAAAAAGTTGTTGAAAACTCTGGCAACTAACGAACGTAAATTGTCTTTTGAATTTTATTACAAATTATTCATGAATATTTTGCATTATTTTTTTGTATTTATTAACTCTATTAACCGTTGCAGTTCCCTTTAAAATAATGATCTTATTCTAGGGTTTTCTCAACGAAAGAAACTATGTTCAATTATTTTTACTCCATTCTGTGATTCCAGTCACAAAAATGTATAAATAACTTTTTCTGGTCGATACAGAGTAAATATCCAGGTGCATGGCAAGAGACATATATGTCTTGATTAAAATATAACAAGAACGTATTGACCTGGACATTTTCAATGGAATTTAAAAAAATGCTGTTTTGAAAATTGTATTTAAATTATTGACAGAATAAAAATAAATTGTATTTGCCAATGCATGATAAGGTATTTGCTATAATATCTTTTTATTATCAACAAAAGCTCATATTATCAATTTAAATGAAAAAACTTGCTTAAATTCTGAAATAATGATGAGTTTGACGAAGGATAATGAAAAGATTTTTATAGATTTGTGTCATCAACAATATTTCCCTGACAAATACCTTTGGCGAAACTAGTGACATCATGAAAGTATTTAGTTATTTTTTTTATTTTATTCTTATATTAACAAACTTCACAATCTTTACAAAGTTTGTGAATATCAAATCGTTATGTGTGGTTTGAGAAATTACCATAGATCTTCAACAATTAACGGTCGAGTCAATCAGGAATTTAACAAATCATGATAGAAGCTTGACAATTGATAACGTAGTATCTGGAACATTAAAAACTACTCTGACACATACAATTTCTGTGAGAGACTATTAGTTGAGTTCATAAAATATATTGTGAGTTTGCCAACTGATTAGTGGTTATTTGCTATGATAACGTTGTACCTAGCATCAACACCAACTCATTTTCAAATATAACTATGAGAAACTAATATTACTAGAGTTTTTCCCCACCTCGACACGTGTTTCGATCACCAAGTGATCATCTTCAAAGAGGAAGATTAATCTTCCTAGGTCTAGGTGTCTAGGTGTCTAGGTGTTAAAATAACGGTTTGGTGTTTGGAAAAAACTCCAGTAATATTCATTACTACACCAAAGGTTCCAAACAGTGCATCATAAGTATGAGAAACTTGTTGAAGTAACAAAATATGTTATGAATTGACACCTGATTCTGGAGTATTTGCCATTTCACTGTGTTAGCATCAACAACAGCTCAGGGGACGAATACAAAATTGAGAATATAACAAAATATTTCACAAATTAGCAAAATGTCTTGTGAAGATTATTTAGTGACCGATATTGTTGAAATTATCTTATCCAAAGATGTATTGTCGCAACTCAGTACTCGCTTAGCTAATTAACGAGAGGATTTTATTCGCTGTTTCACCCTTTCATCATTCATCCAAATAATGAAAGAACTCATTTAAAAACTTAATTAAACATTTATTGTAACCAAACGGGGAAAATACTTCTGGAATAAACTTACACTAAAATGTTAATCGAAAATACAATAAATCACCAAACACTTACATTATACTGCCACCCAGCAAGATTGAAGAGAAAGAGATGTGCTGCATTGCTGATGATCAATAGATACTGAAATGAACTTCTGAATACTGTTTGTTCATGATCTTGACCTTCCTCGATATTTATGAAGATTTATACGCTGACATTGCAACTTTGAATCCGGTCACTGTAGTAAGGTAAAATGCTCAGTATGCAATCTGTGCAAAGTTTACGTATTTGGAGTATGTTTTATATTTCTATATTCTGCGATCGTGTCAATTTTGATGTCTATGAACTTGGAATATCAAAATATGGAATTCTGAATACTGATTTTGTTTCAGAATATTGAAGTTGAGGTTGAAACATCTCACCGTTTATGTATTAGCTCAAATGAATTTGAATAATTTCATGATTATTTTCCATATTTGACAGTATCAAATGGAGGAATTGATGAAAAAGTATAAAAGTACATTGGAAATAATATTTTTGCGGAATATTTTTTCACTTTGGAATTTTTTATCAATTGATAGTATTATATCTTTACAGGAATGTCCAACTGGTATGGTCGACGAGGATTCCTTCAAGCACATATTTTCTCAGTTTTTTCCGTTAGGAGGTAAGTGTAATATTACTCAAAAACACATTTCTTTGTTTTAACGAATATATTAACACATTGTCCAAAGATTTTTGGCAGATTCCTTAGTTTAACAAACATGTAATTTTCTATTCTATCGATTCTATAAGAATGGTGTGTAAGAATGTTGAAATTATTGACGTCACAATTACTAATGATCTGGTAGGTTTTCACACATGTGACATGAAGTGACATATCCGTGCTAAAAAATAAATTATTCCGGAATTTTGATCCCGCATCCATTACGTACATTTGTTGAATTTTCTTAAACATTTTTATCGATATTTTTTAAACGGGATGTAACTCAGCTCTTTTGAGAATTTCATCATACTAATTCGTATCTTCAGAAAGCAATTTACATACGACTAGACATTGTTGGTTTATCCGGAAGCACAAGAGATACTTCCGAATTGAATTTCAAAATTCACAGAATCATCACTATCATCACTATATAGCGTAGAACGAAGTCAAGATTATGATATGAATTAATCACATCGAATTTGTATTCATTGTAGGTATTATTTTTACTGAAACCTACATTTCAATTTTGATATTCAGTTATGTTATGTTTGTGCACATTATTTGTCATGTTATCTGAATCAGCCTAAAAATGATAAAACAAGCCATTAATTTCTAAAATGAATAGCCACCTATGAAAACTTCAGAAGGCATGTTTTAGCAAATGACTTCCGTAAAGTTTTCAAAATACCTAAAAACTATGAAATATACTAAAGCGATTTTCCATTCAGAGTGGAATAAACCAATTTGCCTTTGTTGAATGTGAATTCTTTATTATCAATGACAATGTTCGTACCTCACTGTGATTATAGATATCCAATGTTTTCATATGTGAAAAAAAAAATTTTTGAACCAGTTTGACCGATGATTCTCATAGAAATATTGCAAAATTAATGACTCAAAAGCTAGGAAATAACATACATTTGTGAAATTCTGATAGGTCTTGGGGCCTCCTACCTGATAAAACGGGGGCCTCCATATACTGGGTGTAAACCGATTCAGGTTCGCCCCCATATCTTCTTCGGCCCCCACAAGGAAGTTTTCCCAATTTTGGAATTTCAAACGAAACAAGCTGTAAGGTTTCACATCTTTGAATTCAACAGTTCAATCCACATGAGCATATGCTAATTTTTTTACTAGAAACCCAGTAACAATTTTCGACAAATAATTCAATTTTGAGATATAACTTCCATTTGCAATGACACCAGGAAGGCTCATCATTCATCATGTTATTCAGAAAGATTTCTGTTTCAAAAATATGACATATTTCGTTCTGTTCCCTTATTCCTAAGTTATCACAGAGATGTGATAAAATGTAATGAACACCCAAATTAACTTATGCAAAGTCCTAAAAATCGTGATTTCAGGCAGAATAACAACATAAATACGCATCTACCTAATTATCCACATGAGATTAAAATTACTCCGAATTTGGAAATTCAAATGGAACATTCGATATACCTAATTATACATTTTTTGGATTCAGCAGTTCATTTCATATACGATTATCCACATATTTTTTGACCCTTGTCCCAACCAGTATTGTGGTATTGTGGAAATAAGGAAAATTTAATAAACAGAAATAGCCGCATTATCAAATATCTAACCATTTACGGAATTTATTATTTATGTGGTGATGAAGTTTACATCGACCTTGCCTGATTTATGTAACAAATTCTACCTCCACCTAGCCGTTAGGCTGTTATCTTTCCTGGGAGGGTCTTTCAATAAAAAGGACATAATGACATGGTATATAACTCTCTTGCGCTTATGGGCTACAAACTTCATCTGTGATGAAAAATGGTGCCGTTTCAGTTTTGAAGTACTTTCTGTAGGAACTTAGTGTTAAAAATTTTATTTCATTCATCGTAGAGAAGTTTAATAGCAACGCCTGAATTATATTCATTGANACCCCGTTGAATAGCAATAGTAGTTATTTCTATCAAAAAAGAGGTAGAACGGTGATCTTATGCGAGAGCATAAGGGTACAGACAAACAGGAGCGATATTTTTTTTCAATAATAATAATATTCGTTCAAAATCGTCAGTGCATATATCAATTTTGTCTGTTTCTGTTTAAAAAAAAATCTGTTTTTCCGTTAATCAGCTGTCGCCCCCGTACGAACGACAACTCTCAGAAGTTGGAAACTTGTGCGAGCTAAAGAGGTCTTACCTTTTAACGTGTGATTCCTGATTAGGTAAATAAATATTGCCATCACATGAAAGTTAAAGCATCGTTCCTGGGGAAGAAACCTAAACTACCAATAATAAATACAAATACAGTAAACCAAAATAAGAGATTCGTTTGGGTAAATATCACTGAAGATAGAGCTTTAGTTTTCTTGAAGGTAGAACCTTGTTCACAGAAAAACTACATCTTGTTCATCAATAGCTACTTTTTAATTTGAATCTTCGATAATGAGGTTCACGTATGAAATTAAAAATAATTGCCATTCTTAGATGTTCTTGTCATAAAAAAAGTAAATAATTTAGACATATTTATTAATAATAGATAATAGTTTCTCTCACACGGGAAATTCATTCATCAAAAGGTGTATGCTGAACTGAAATTATTATATAGTTATGAACATATTCTGAATAGAACTATTAAAACCATTTATGTAATGCACTGATACTTTTTCATGCCAATTATTGTGATTATGTCACCGGCATGATATTGAGATTCGAGAAGGCATCATTCCACCAAAGACTCCAATAATCAGAACAGTCATCTTGAAAGAGTGATCGGGATAGAAACTGCGGAGTTCGAATAGAAAATCTCGATATTTCATTCTCTTTTCCTTCTTTTTTCAGATGATATTCGTCTCATCCGGAGCTGAAAACGAATATCGTCTTGCTCTGATGGACGAGAAGAACTATTCAGGATTATTAGCTTGTATGAGCCCGACTTCAATCCAATCGACCTGAGGAAAGCGAAGATCAGGTTCTTTGATGAAACGGGGTCTTTAATGCTAGTAAAAAAGACACCATGCATTACAGTTCGAAGATGAAATCTCGAAAATGCATCCATTTTCCCCCTCTTTTACGGCGTTAGTCGTCTCGCCATGAGCTGAAAACTCCACAACAAATATCGTACTTATATCAGGCTTATTCGACTGAGGATGGGGAATAAATAGTTCCAATAAATACGGCACTTCTCGTTACCCACAACGCATTTAATATCCCCCAGAGCTTAGGACAACGGATTCAGGGAGCGTAGGGCAACACCGGTGTCTCGTCAATACGTAATAAAGTATCTCAGGGCCGCGTTATGTAGATGGATATTGGCTGAGACCGCATATCTGGACATGCTAACAACAAGTGCATAGGGTCTCAGGCGCCTCACGGCAGGCCATGTCTTTCGGGTCAGGAACCGCTATACCCATCACGCGACTGCGGTAGACTAAGGGGTTGATGACACCATACTGGCAGGCCATGATGAACCCCACAGTTTTCGACTTCAGTCCACTCGACTTGAGGAAAGCGAAGGAGCTTTGATAAGCCGATATCTTCAATATTGTTGAAGAAGACCTCATGCATTGGCTTGTGTTGCCGCAGGAATGGAGTGATCTCTGCAGCTTTTATATGGGCCTTTTGCTGGCCCGTTTCAAACCCGGTGACAGTGTTGTGATTACTTCCTTCAGTGTCGAAAAATAAACCGATTTCATGAGCCGTTCGAGCATCTGTCCGAGGGAATCCGAACTGATGACTTGACAGGCTCCATCCAGTACCATTATGAAATGTAGACATTCCAAACTCAAAAGTCTATGAAATTTCTGTTGTCTGGGGAAGTAATTGAAAATATGAAAATTTTCATATAGTCTCTGAAAATTACGATCAAGGTGTCATTCGATTCGTATTGTCTGTTAGAAAGTTCGAGAGAAAAGTTTTCGAAAAAACCTAAAAACCTTACAGAAGAGTTGGTCTTATTTCTCGAATATTATAATATTTATCGAGTAGACAATATGGTTTTCGTAAGAATAATTCAACGTCTGATGCAATTGCCAGATTGACAGGGCTGATAAATAATGCAATTGACAAAAACTCCTTCTATCTGTGTCTTCATCGATCTGACAAAAGCATTTGACACCGTTGACCATTCAAAACTACATATTGCTCTCACATATTGGCATAAGAGTAGTTGCCTATAAATTATTTGAGAGTTACTTATGTAACAGGAAACAATGCGTCATAATTAATGAAGCTATGAGTAGTTATCAAATGATTACATATGGAGTGCCTCATGGTACTGTGTTGGGGCCAACTCTCTTCAATCTTTATATCAATGATCTTTTCGAACAAGATACATGTGGGGAAGTTGTGAGTTTCGTGGACGACACTGCCGTTTTCTACGAAGGAAGTGACTGGAACTCTTTCAAAAATAACATTGAGGTTGACCTTCAGAATATAATAAATTTCTTCAACGATAGAATACTGACAATCAATTATAAAAAAACTCACTTTGTGCCGTTTACATCCTACTCTAAAAATTCACCACCATATAAAGAACTGGAAATACAACATGACGACGGAACCCTTCTAAAAATAGAGTCTGTCGATAAGCTTAAATACCTAGGTATATCTATAGATTCTCATTTGAATTGGGAAGATCAAATTAATGATGTAATTAAAAAGTTGTGATTCATGGTCTATAAATTCAAAAACATATCTAACATCATTAATATAAAATATCTAAAAATACTGTACCATGCTTTGGTCAAAAGCCATCTTTCCTATGGAGCCATTGCATGGGGAGGATCCTCAAAAACACTTATCAATAATCCACAAAAAATTCAAAAGTGCATTGTTAAAATGATATATAAAAAACCGCGAGAATATCCGTCATGTAGCCTGTATCGAGAAACGACGATAATGAATGTAAGTCAGATATTTGTTTTTGAGATCCTCTTGAGGCAGTATAGACATAAATCGTCGTTGGTACCTCTTCAGTACCATTACAACACA